CAATCAAAACAATTAAACATTGGATTGAAGTTTGTTTTCAAAGATTGGAAAACCTTTTGAGTGGAAGTGAACTCTGTTTCCAAACGGGAAGTACTCTCGCGATTGAGTCCCGGATTTGTGTGCTTTTTCCCAAATAGAAGAGCGAGTCGTGCGAGAACTTAAGCGCCTGGAGGTCTGTCGGGTTGTCCACTAATATCTGTTCCCATATATCAGAGGCGCCGCCCCAATCGCCACAAGCGAACCGTTCAATGGCTTTCACGTGTTTATACTCCCTGTCCTCTAATTTATCTTTGTTTTTATCAGCCGTTTCCACCAACTCTTCCAATTGTTTCTTGAGATCCCTGTCCAGTCTTACTGTAGTTCCCGTTCCGATCAGCTCTAAGCCCAGACTAAAACTTCGGCCCAAAACTGAAATTACATAAAAAAGTTTTGTTAGAAATTTGGTTCCAAAAGAAAGTTAGTTATGATTGAAGTTATAGATTATCACCGAAATGAGGGTCCGCTCGAAGCATATCATCGCAAGTCTTGGCCAGGCCTCCCATATTCGGGTCGTCGTACCATCCGATGAGCTAATTGATGAATAAAACATTTTGATCAACACATCTACCGGTGCGGTCTATGTGCGGCTCAACACATACTTGAGTGACGGCCGCGTCATATAGTTTGACGGCTGCGTCAGAGGAACTGCTCTTAATTGGCAGACCCTCTGCCCTCCACTCCTGAGAGAACATCTACCGGTGCGGTCTATGTGCGGCTCAACACATACTTGAGTGACGGCCGCGTCATATAGTTTGACGGCTGCGTCAGAGGAACTGCTCTTAATTGGCAGACCCTCTGCCCTCCACTCCTGAGAGACAATGAGATCATAAAAATGTAATTTAATTTAAATTTAATAAAACATATGAATATTGTAATGAATGTTATTTATCACGAAATATAAGTTGCATTGAAGTGAAAGTGCAGTTTAAAAATATGTCATAATTGCAAAGTTGTAGTGATTTACAAAATTTTATATACAATAACTCATTAGTCATTATTTGGGATAATTATTGAATATTAATTTCTGATTTAATTTTCATAAAAAAAAGTTTTCTAAATATTGCAAAAATGAAATAATGAAAATGTATTGAAACAAACTAACAGCACATCCCCTCCAATTGTCTCTGAACATAGTTTGGGACGAAGTGTTGTCGCAATTATTGTTAATCACTGACTAAAGAGTGAATTTTTGCGAGTTTCAAGTTTTATAGTGAACTCAAGGATTATACACAAAGTACTGGCGTGTGATATGATTATGTAAATCGAGACCTAAAACAAACACAACTCGAGTGACACACAAGTAGATAGTTGTGTGCAAAACAAGTCCAAAAACTATCAAAACTATCGATTTGTTTGTAAGTTCAGTGAATAGAGTGAGCGATAAATTGTATGTTCAATACGTGTGCTGTTGTCGTGTGAGTAACAGTGGTATAGGTATACGACGGGGGGTTCACTCGAGTGATGAGTTGTCCCTCACATCTCATCAATTGAACAAAACTTTTAGAGCACAGGTATCTCACAGTGAAAGTTGTTTTAGACATACTGTAGTCAGTATGTGAGGGGTGTGTCAGTGAGGGGGAGGGATCGGAAGCCTATGAATTGAACATAACTTAAGTGCAAGATTCTGGTGTTTGATAAGAATACCAGTGCTTTCTATCCCTGTTTGTATGCTTGCGTGAAGGTCTCAGTGAACCAGAGAACTGGATGTCTTTGATTCTGGTTATCACACAATTATATTGAATCACTTTTTGAGTGAATTTATTGGCGATAAAAATTTTGTGACGACTTTTGCTGAGACCTCTCAAAGATGTTGTCTCTGAGTGTTTGGGATGTGTTGTGAGCGCATGAATGCTAGGAATCGTATGAATGGTTATTATGAAGCATAATATGAGAGCCAAATACTCGTGACTCTATTGCGAGTGTGTATTCACTACCAGTCCTTACAATCAAACAGTATTTTAACACAAAAATTGCAATTTTATGACATTTTTTAGTCTAATTCTGTGAAATCGTTTTTATAGTGTTTTTGTTTTTTTATCGAAATCTTTATTTAAGTCCAAATCCATCACATTTTGTGCCAATTCAGTGAATCCACTGAATCCGACGGCTAAGCAAATGGTGGCAAAGAATTTGTGATAATTTTTTAGGCGACTCTTGCATTCAGTTTATTATTAAACGCTTTTTGGTATTAAAAACAGCAATAAAATTGTGTTTTTGAAGAATTCAATTCTCTATTCAGGAAACAAACTGTAAGTCATTTCGTAAAGGAATTCATAATCAAAAAAACTTTTTT